GGCCAAATGAGGGTTGTTTTAAATTGTTTTTTCAGCAACGCTTATAAAAACTGAGGATTAGCACATGAAGGGACAGGGAAAACCGGACACGGCATGAAAGACAACAGTGAACATAGGATGCAGAGGACAGAGACTGTGCCCAGATTCAGGGTCTGCGTCGTTCGAAAGCTAAATTGGAAGGTTGATTACATCGCAGCAATGCGCCGAAGGGTGTCACAATTTGAAGGCTCTTCCACTTGTGGCCCACAAATGTGTCCTCTATGATTCGATGTATCTTTCACAGCACCCCATCCCAAGATGCATTACGGACCGACTGGGAATTTTTTTCGTGTGTGTAATGATGGATAAAGAGAGACAGGCAGCACAGTGTTAAATGAAATCAWTGTAATCAAGCTCATATACAGTATGGCAGGTCCTTTAGTTCTTTATTATATTGCCTCTTAGTTATTGTGTTAATTTATAATATTTATAATAAAATATATTAACATTTTGCTAATTTCAATCTATTTTATTCTTTATTGGTTCTGTTTAGCGCGGGAAAACTGAAGGCTAGGCCGTCCAAATTCACTGCCACTTTCTTCCTGTCCTACCGGTCAACAAAGGACCCGACCCTCTTAGACCAGGTCCTTCGAAGAACACAGACCCTGAATTTGGACACACAGCCAGAGTGAGACAGAGTGAGACAGAGTGAAACGACTCACTGTTGGAGACCCCTGAAGAGAGAACAGCTTAAAGAAGAAGAAGAAACATGAAACCAACAATGCTCAATGAAGTGAAACTGAAAGACTATGAAGACTACTGATGAGAAGAGTRGGAGACTACTAAAACCTGGTTTTACTGGTTAGGCTGTAAGCTGATTAGGCTCAAACTGTGGAAAATACAGAGCATTTCTGTAAATACAGGGAGGCAAGGAACAAACTGAAGACACAGAAAATACAAAAACTAAACACCATAAAGAATATGAAAAAAAAAACATGACCTTTTGCTTTRTGATTGACATCATGGCCAACAAAGTACAAAATACTGGTAACTATTTCATAACACCAATAAAAAATGACCAGAATATTCTTTTAAGGTTGCAAATAGAATGAGTGGAACTCAAACACACTCATGACATCACATTTATATGAGAAAGTCATACAAAAAAGTTGAAGGATTCAGGTCAGGTGGTAGAACGCCTGGAGGCAGGCATACAGGAAGTCAGAAAAGAGAGAAAATAGAAGGTTTTGGTTTTTGTGGGTTTTTAGGTGACAGGTTAAAGATGCTCCACTGCTTTCCTTTCTGTTTACCTTGGCTCTTTAGCAGCATTATTCATTCAAAGAAAGAAAAGGCACTCCTACATAAAGCAGTGCTGCAGAGCCTGCCCGCCATCTATCCCTGCAGATACTCCAATAACTTGCACACAATTTTAAAACTGCTGATGATCAAATCAGTTGGCTGCACACAGGGAGCTCTTAAAACAGCAGAAAGTTTGTGTTTACTTATTTCAAATGTGTGCATTTGTTATACTTCCACRTTATTAGTAAATACATTTGGGAAAAAGTCAAATTAGCAACATGAGCAAAGCTTAACTACTGGAAAAACTTCCTTTAATCTATTAAATTCTGCTAGGTTTACAATTTTTACGCTCATCATAAACAACATTATTTTAAACACTCTGAATTCTTTAAAGAATGATCTTGTGTTTGACGGGTTTTAAAATTAATAAACCTCAAATGACAACATGATTCTGTAGAGTTAAATTTGAAGGCTTCTAACTGCTGAATCTGGGCCTGGATGAGGTCATTCAGCTGGAAAATCATTCTTAGCACAACAACAAATCTACAACAGAATGAGTGAAAGAAACAGTTTGTTGTAAAGGCCAAGTGAAATCCCAGACACCAGCCTGATTAAAATGCTGCTGCAGGACCTGAAAAAAACCCCTGTATAACAAAGACTTGCACACCTCAGTGAAGTTATAAAAACAGGAATAACATTTCAGAGAAAGACGAATAAGAATGGAAAGGTTAATTTTTGCAATGGGTGCTGGAACTCAGATACAACACATTTATCCCTGTAATTCATAAATCTGCTTTGGTGCTCCATTCTCTGTCAATCAGAGAGGGTTCACTGTGGCTCAGGAAGTGATTTGTCATCAYTGGAAAATCAGCATCTGAACGCACGTCTCCAAGTATAAAAGCACAATATAAATACAGCCCATTCATAATCATCCGGACAGTCAGTTTGCAGAGATTTAAATTTACCATTTTTTGTTTGTGTTTGTGATGACATGTTCTGCCTTTCATCCAGTCACACTGTGATTTCCTGAACTATTGCAAGCAGGCGTGACTCAGTAGCCTTTTTGCTTGAACTCTCTCCTGGTAGGTTGAGTTATGCAAACAGCCAGAAACAGAGAAGCACAATGGCCTTCACTCCGCTCTCCATGTTTTATAACTGCAGCATCTCACTCACAAAATGCATTCACAAGTGTCTCTTCTCTTCTTTGAGCTGTAAACACATCAGTTACAGGCTGGAATCCTATTCATGATCTGTGGAGGTAACACCGGTGAAAAAATGAATTGCCAAGATTCATTAAGTTGTGGGACTGAGTTTTAATTTGTGGTCATGCAACCTGCTCTGTTTGCCAAAAAAAGGTAGAAAAAAAGCATGAAACAGAAAACTGAGCAGATACACATGTACTCAGTATTTTCAGATAAATTTCAGCTGGACAGCTTTAGTTTCCAACATGTTTTCTGTGTTTTGTTGAGTGTTGTCAATCTCTCAGTGGTTATTTTAATATTAATGATTATAACAATTTTTTTATTTTAACAAAATAAAGGTATGCATTTCTGATCAAGTAATAACYGCAAACATTTGTTCAGGCACTATCAACATGTACACATGCTTATGTGCTTTTTTATGCTCAACAGGGACAAAAAAGCATTTCTTCAAAGTTATTTTTTAGTTCAGTTAAATTTTCATAACACCAGCTCACAAGAAAACTTTCTCAGTGTACTATGTAAATGAAAAACAGGTCCAAATGCTATAAATAAAATTTAGTCTGAAGTAAAAATTTAGATTTAAATTCAATCAGAATCAGTCCATTTCAATTAGAATGCATAACATTGACAACTGATAAAAACATTATTTCTGTTTAAAGTGGTTTTGAATAATAAAGTTTTCAAGGTTATCGGGATTTTTTAATGTTTTTCTTGGGACTCATTATAAGTCAAGCTTGGTCATTTTCAGGGGTGCCCTTCAAATTTGCTTGTTTTATTTATTATTTTACTCTGACCTTTGACTCAAGTAAAACACAGAGACCTAAGGGACAATCCACAGTTCTGATGATTTAGCAAATTAATGTGTCTGTGTGGCAACATATGAAGCAAAAAACGGCAGCTCAGGACTTTTGCCCATTACTATATGTAATTTAAACTGAGGGTGGTAAAAATCAAACATTTTCACTTTGACTTGGACAACTGCCCCTTTGATTGTAGGCGTTTCTCACTTACAGGTTGTAGTGTTCACACTCAACATGAATCCAGTTCTGAATATTTTAGCTCCTGATAATGTCTAAATCCAAAACGGACCGCAGAACAGGGCCAAGATGAYGAATTAATTAATTAATTAATACAAATCTGCAACCCGTAAAACCTTTCAGGGAAATTTAATTTATACTAACGCTCTGAAATCATGCTCCTCTTGATTCCGTTTAGTCTCAGAAGTAAAGATCACCAGCCATTATAGAAGATGGGCAATGATGTAATTGCATGTTTCTTTGTGTTTGTTTGTTTGCAAAATACTGTATTTCAGAAACCACTGGACGGATTTTTAAGAAACTCCCATAAAGTAATTGTCTGATGTCCACTTGCAACTGATTAATTTTTGTCAGTCTCATTCAAGATGGCTGCCACATGTGATTGATTTTAGCAAACACAACTCCGTCACTTTTACAGACATGTGACCTCACATKTGGTGTAGCTGAGAGTCATTTCTTTTTTAAAGCATGCAAAGCATGCAAGAGCTTTGTTTAACTAATTGGCACACACAGATGGATACACACTTGTTTGTCTGTAAAATCTCATTAATTATGTGAACKTTGATTAAACTTTAGTAATCATTTAATATAAATGTGTAACTTGATTACCTTTTGGAGTCAACCCAATTCAAAATGACCAACTAATCAACACAGAAACAGCTACAACTCAGTCAGTATAACAGATATTCAGCTAAAATTTTGTGTGGTAGTAGCTGAGAGTCATTCCCAACCCATACTCTAAGCCCAGGGTGTAAAGGTCTACCATTGGGGGAGCTATGCGCTAAAACCCTGCATGTCATTTTCAGTAATTATGCATGACATCAAAATTTTTTWAAATCATTTCAAAGTAGGACAACAAGAGAGTTGCATCTGTCTATTTAACCAGTTAATTTCTACTGTGTTAAAGCAAATTATGTTGACTGGATCAAATTGTTGTGGGGGTCATAAC